TGACATCAACTAAACAACACATATGATTTTCATACCTTGGAAACACCAAAGGACCAAGAAAATCAAATGTGATTTTATATTACCATTTTACCAAAGAAAGAGGAAGGCTTTCCTCAGAACCTGACACGGCTACTTTTTTTTCTCTGCTCTTTAGGCTCCTAATTCTTTTCAAGGAATTTTAGAACTGCAAAACTGGGATAGTAGTACCCTAAGCTGCTTACTGATCTTTTCTTATCTTCTTCTAATCTTTTACCACACAGAACTATATCCATACCTACTAGAAGAAGCAAAATCCCAACTGGTAATATACAAATTATATAATTATATAACTTCAGAACTCAAGTTTTTACTTGACTTGTTACTCATTGTCAGTAACAATTGTTGGTCTGGTGTGGCCATGTCATGGCGGTCTCAAATTCCAACTTCCTTAAATTTTTACCTATGTTAATTATTGGAAATCAAACATTGATTTGTCAGTTAATTTTTATATTGATTGAATGGAAATAGGTAAGATTATATAAACATAGTAATAATCCAACGTCAGGGCAGAGACATAGCTCAGAGATTAAGAGCACTGGCTGCTCTTGGAGAGGACCTGGGTTCAATTCCCAGCATCCAAATGGCAGTTCATGACAGGGTGTAACTTTCAGTTTCAGGGGATTTAACACCCTCTTTTGACCTCAGTGGGTACTGCACATATGTAGTGCCCATACAAATACTCATACATACAGAAAATAAATAGGCCAACACCAATCCATAATTATTGAGCAGTATTCCCTCCATTTATCAATGTTTATTATACTCTGGACACTAGAAATTCATGAATCCTATCAACTCAACCACCTCATGAAGCACATAGAATGGAAGCCCCTTTCAGGAATAAATGTTTGCATTCTGATTTTTGCATTAAGAAATGCATGCACAGCCCCAGAAGTTTGGGGTAGGCATGCTTTCACCATGGTAGTGATGCCCTTAGACCCAGCTGCACGTCACATAAGTCCTGGATTCTTTGGCTCGGCCCCAACATGCTGCTTTCTCACTTGGCTTCCATTTTCTGCCTTCCCACAGTCCTAAAGTGGAGTCTAGGCTTACAGTCTGGGACTTTTGCTTCAAGGAAGCCAGCAAGCACTGCTTTACATTTGAACTGCTTGTTCTTAATTAAGTTATTCCAGCAATATTCATCACTGAATTTGTTGTTTGAAATGCCCTCGGTTTCTTCTCTAGTAATACTTCAGGTGGGTATTTTCCGACTTCATTATGTAATGACTCAATGCTATGAATCCTACACAGACACAAACATACATGCACACATCTATGCATATACCCATTTGAAAACATATAAAAGAATAAAATATACCTTCCAAAATATAATTTATATCTTTTGGTTGTTGTTTTGTTTTTTGTTTTTTGAGATAAGAGTTTCTCTGTATAACAACTCTGGCTATTCTGGAACTCACTTTGTATACCAGGCTGGCCTCAAACTCACAGAAATCTGCCCGCCTCTACCTCCCAAGTACTGGGATTAAAGGCATGTGCCACCACTGCCCGGCTATCTTATACTGATTTTTAAGTTTTTTTTAAAAAAAGTTTTGGAGGCCTTACAGCAAAGAAGTCCATTGATCCTACACACAGTCTCCTCTGATAGCTTCTGGAGTGGCCCGCAGTAGGACTTGCCTTCTGGTGCCTTGTGTCATCGGTCCCCTCCTGCAGTGGACAGAGTTTACCTAACAGAAGGGTGTTACAGAAACAGCAAGAGTATGGGTCTGGGAAGGTGGCTCAGTAGGCAAAGGGCTTGCTGTAAAAGCACGAGGAACTGAGTCTTGATCCTCAGCATCCACACTCATCCATAACCCCAGATTTGGGGGTATGGAGGCAGGAGGATCTCTGGAGCTTGCTGGCCAGCTAGTCAAATCTAAACTAGAAGCTCCAGGTTCAGTGAAAGATGCTCTCAAAAAACAGAATAGAGAGTGATTGAAGTGGATGTCCAGTGTCTATCTCTGGCCTCCACACTTGCACATGCACGCACATACACCACAGACACACCCACAGTGTAGAGCATGATGTCAGATACTAGGTGATAAAGACCTTGTGGCTTCTATTTTCCTATTGTGGTGAGCTGGGCTTGATTATCTTCAGAAGCAGGACTAGCATGACTGCAATTCTTTGATTTGGGTGGCTGTCCTCTGCACTCTAGGACGTTTGTCACTGTCCTTGCTCTCCAACACTGTAACACCCCTGCCTGAATTTCAACAATCAAATACATCTCCCTAGGGGAGTCTATCACCCCAATTAGGAACTGAAGCTCCCTGGGAAGCCAACTGACCTGGGATAAGGACACCCAGTGTCATTTGTAAGAAAACTCCCTCAGTTTCGGTATACTTTGTAGACCAGGTAAGCATCACTATTAGTTTCTATTTTTCCCTCTCTTTTTAATATTTAATCCTTTCCTTTTACACTCCACATTTGATCTTTGATACTTTGAATTTATCTCAATATAACCTCTTCTCTTCTAAAATGTTCTAGAAAAGCACTGCACAAAACATAATTTCAAAACATTTACTTCCAAAAATGTTAGGATTCCTTTATCCTACCATCACAGATGAAAGGTCCCTCACACAAAGTCTGCAAATTTTCCTGTGTGTGGAGAGAAGGAAAGAAATAGAAGTGTAGCCAACAATATCTGTTGAATAACTTATACCATGAGGCAGTAAAATACGGATGCTGTTTCAGACTCAGCTTTGGCCTCTGGTGGTCGTCACATCTGGGTGATGTGTATCATCTTCTAAAGTGATTCCTGTATCAATCAAGAAGCTAAAGGAAGGAACATAGAGCAACAATAATTGATGAATCGTCCTGTCTGCTTCTCCTAGTAGCCTCTACATGCAAATCCCCAGAAGAGTTTACAAACTGCTTTAAAGGAATTAAGAGACTTGATCATCACTTATTGCAGAAACCTGTAATGTGTTCTTGGCACCCCATGACCATTCCTTAAAGCGATTACTAGAACGCTCTGCAACTGTTCCTTTACCATTGCACAGGGAGGCCCATGGAAAGAAACCAGGCATGGTCTGCACACGCTGCCAAGGAGGGACTGGATTCCCACACACATAAGCAGTCACTGCAGTTCACAGAGCACCACTGGTCTACAAAACAAACGCCAAACACAGCAGACACTGATCAGTTCTATCACCACCTCTGCACTGGGACATTAGCATCTGTCACTATGCCCAAATGTATGATGCGATATCACTGCTAACTCTAGAAAAAGAGTTAATACCACCCAGACAGGAGCACAGTCTAAATATCATCAAATGAGTAGCAGACTGACCCACGGAACTCAGAGAGCTAGAAATGATCAGATGAAGGGATAGTCTGTTTATCATTCAAAGAAACAACAATAATGAAAGCTGATTTAAATGTTGACGAACTGTCATCTTGAAGCAAAGCAAAATATAATATCTGAAATGAGCTCAGAAGTCTCAATTTCTTTTCAGAAATTATTAATAGTCTCTTATGGGTTAGGTAATTTTGCTAGACTTTAGGGGGCATTTAGGTATAAGCAAACTATCATTAGGTAGCAACCAGGGAGGGGAGGTAAGCATAATTACATACCAGCAATCTGATCAAACTCCAGGCAGTTCCATGAAAGGCCTTGTATTCAGGGCTCACATATGCGCATCTGTGGGTCTTCAGGGGCGACAGTCCCCAGTGTCTAGCAAGCCACTCTAATGGCTGCTTAATGCTTAGTGGCAGTTATGACAGTTAGCTGATGTGGTGTAGTTTGGGAGACTTTCATGAGAATCAAATCGTTTAAGGCAGAGAACCCTGGGGAAGGATGGAACACATGCACACTCACATACACACACAGACTCACACCTCACATACTCACACACACCCTCACACCTCACACACACACTTACACCTCACACACACACACACATACACCCTCACACCTCACACACTCACACCACACACACACACACACACACACACACACACACACACACACACACACGGGGGTGGGGAGGGCGGAGAATGAAGAAGGCACAGGAAGGAGATGGCCCAGGAATCTGGTCTGTTTGATTTGAATCACTGTTTTGATTTATAGTATTTAAATAAAGGTATCAGACATCATTTGTTTTTCCAGGAAGCTTTTCTCTTAAAGTTCTCCTTATGGGTAATCCAAGTATCCCTACCTTTTAGAAGAGATTTTCCCCCTGAGGTTGTGTAACAGCTTGTCAACTTTCCTAACGCTCACAAATAGGGCAAACAGAAAAGGGGGAGGGGAGACAGTATTAACCGTTAACTAGGGAAATAGTTGAGATCAACAATGAGCAACTCCTGATAAAGTCTTTGTTTCCTGTTTTACTGAGGTGTTGGAAGATGATTTATGACTAAGCATTGTGACATCTGCATGTCTATAATACACACTGAGCAAACGTCACTTTGGGGGCTACAGAACAGGAGCTCTACAAACTGCAATTCTATCCTTCCAGCATGTCGGAGTCTTCAAGTGATCTCTGCATCTCTGGAATCGCAGGCTTCAGAGCCTTGGTCCCTTCTCTGGTCCCCAGAAAGTAGAAGGTTAGAGGTCTTTGACTCAGTGCTCAGAGATTTCAGCTAAGGATCATTATGCCGGGTTTTTATTCTTCATGTGGGAATTAATCCTTTAAATGAGCCATCACTGTCTTTTACCACACCCAACACAGTGATGCATCATGGGAAAGGAGAAGTTTGTAGTCAAGACACTAAAAAAAATAGAACATTTTAAGATAGCATAAAGTGCTAAGGAATTTTAATAGTTAAAGAAATACCATCATGAATAAAAAGTTCTTTTAAAAACAAAAAATGCCTACATTTCAGTGTTTTGAATTATTTATAAGGAATACTTTATAGCTATGATGTCTAAAACCTAGATCCAAATCCAGTTGTTTATTGCATTTTTAGAACTTATTATAAAAAATTTCATTTTCCTCATGTGTGAATCCTCAGTTTGGGGTTCTGAAAATACAAGGGTACAGATTTCAAATGCATGGTGGTTGGAACATTAAGTCCTACAAAATGATCTTAGGGATTTGATATTAATTTCTATTAGAAATGCCTTTCCAAGGGGAACCAGGATTACATCTCTGGGTTCTGATACTTTGTGTCTGTGGGGCTCTGAGCTCGATCCTGGGCACCAACAAAACAACACAGAACAGAGACCAACAAGGAACACTAAATTGCTTTAAAATTGCTCTTTTTTTCCCGATACATTCATCAGAAGCAATTATTTTCCAACTATGACTAACAAAGTGTTTTTCTCTTCCCTTCCTTTTATAACCAACATATTAGAAAGTAGATAAAAAACATAAATCTGGGCACTTTTTTTTTCTACCTATTTCTCCCTTCTCCAAAGGAAATAAGGAGAATTTTCTAATTCAATTCTGTCACAGAGAAAGCTGGTTTCTGAGAAGTAAATCGGAAAAACACTGTTACATAACTATTTGGAGGAGTATTTTGAGGTTATAAACCATATGTTTAATGAGTTTTATATGTAAAATACTCATAAACTTTTAAATTTGTTTCAACGATTATATAGCTGTTTGGTTTAGTTGCTAATTTGTAACTACTGTGTGCTCCATTTCCTGACTGCCAAAATGTATCATCCTCCCAACATTTCAAGTGAACCTTGTACCATTGTGGGGATCTCAGCCTCCACAGCCTTGGCCCTTCCCCCCTCCCTGCTATAATCAATATTAAAAGCTGCAAAGCCCCTTCCTGTGCTCTAATTTATTTCTGTTGGAGCCTGTGATCAGCAGTCCACTTCCCTCTGAACTTCAAGCTCTGTAGTGGTCTGCACCCAGGAAGCCAACCTTCCCAGGAGGAAAGATGGGCTAATCAATCTTTTGAAATCAGTAACAACAACAAAAACAATGCTATGTCCCATGTGGAAGAGAACACAAGCTCAATGTGAGTCACATGGCTATAGAACCGGGTAAGGTGTTTTTATTTATTAAACTACAAGATATTCAAAGTGGTTAAAATTCCAAACACATTCAACATATCTAAAGTTTATACAGAAATACTTAAACACTGTAAAAGTTCCAAATCCATTATTTTAATAGGCTTCCTTTGTAATATTTAGTTTATTTTTTATTTAGTTTATTATTATGTGTATGTATCTCCCTCTCTAACTCTCTCTCTCTCTCTCTCTCTCTCTGTGTGTGTGTG